TGGCCAGAATGCGAACGTTCTAACCAATCGGCCACGCCCATTACATAAAAGATATAACAATTGATAAATGAGTGACAAACAAGTGAATGATAAGAAACGCAACAAGGAAGGAATAATGGTAAAACAAAAACGCCAAACTATCGCAGATATGGTTACGCAGAGGACATCTAAAACGAGAAATGATATATTTTATCATTGCAGCCCAGAACTAATTAGGAAGCAAAAAATAAACAGCTAATGTATTTGTCAAAAACCAAAACCAAAACCAAAACCAAACAAAAAACAATGCAAAGAAATAAAAAGAGTCATGACTGTAAACGAAATCGAAAATGAATATAAATTCAAAACGAATATAAAAAGAGGTGAAAAGAGAACGGGCAGCGATTTCCCGTTTAAAAAGATTTTTTTTTTTTTTACCAGGTAAAGAAATGTTATGAATAAAATCTGAAAATAAAAACAATGGAGTACTCAGTTACTTAGAGAACTAGTCCGACTAACCTATTCATGTAAAAAGAGCGGGTCTAATTTCGTGAACAAGGTTTGAGAAAGTCAGCAGTCTCGTAGTAAAGAGTAAAGATGGATTGAAAACAGAAAGAGAGAAAAGTACCTGGACTTCGCCCAGTAAGTAATGAAACTTTGGAACAGGGAGGTTAGTCCCGTGCGTATAAAAATTGTTACACTTGGAATCGGACCAAAATACAAGCAGCGTGTTTTCAGGGAATGGATAAACCAAGAAAGTATTGAGACTGTCTAGATCACAGCAGCGCTAAAGTTTGCAACGATACCAAGGAAGGTGCGGGAAATTAGTGGAGACTTCAGGTCACTCAATTCAAAGTGACAACCACAAGATTTTTTTTTTGGTGGAATACACAAATAAGAAAAAAGATAATAGGAATAATGATAATGAATAGCAGATTTAAATCTATGTTACGACATTCTAACACATGTACACTGTCCGTTGCATATATAATAATAATAATAATAATAATAATAATAATAATAAAAATAATAATAATGATAAGAAAACCGACAAAGGAAACCGGAGAGATGAGGAAACTTGCTGCCACTTGATTCACAACCATCGCCAGAAGATATAATCAAAAACTGGGAGGTGCAAGTGGAAGAGCAGAAAATTGAACTGACGAACCAAGTTGGAATTTAGGCTCGGGTAGTTAGTATCCATTTTCATTAACGCCCCTTCTGAGAGGCATATTATTCATCGCTTCTTCCTCCAGGCAAGGGTTAAATATGAGAGAAAACTGGATTCCCTAGATATGTGACAACCAACCTAAGAGAAGAAAAACTGAATACCTTGGTTGAAAACCGGTCTAGAAAAAGAATAACTCTGAACTGAAAAAGACAAAGAAGGCAATAGAAAACTACTTCATTGTCTATTGTTTTCAAGAACAATCATTATAATGCAAAGTTTACAAATATTACAGAAAAGGAAACTGTGGAAAGCCATGATATTTTAAGGTTATAAACTATATAAAAATGATAGTAACGCTAGTAATAATGATCAAAGCCAAGTTTGGCACAGTGCTAAATTATTAGAGCATTCAGTGTGTTTAGAGTTAACAAATGTAATATAGTCAATGCTTTATGAAAATAATAATAATAATAAAACAAAAAACGAAGCGAATACCATCTACGCCAAACGAGTAAAACAAAGCAAAACAACTTGGCCAAATGAAATTGCAACAAAACTGGGAGGACAAGGCGCTGCATGGCAAATACATAAAAAGAACGAAAAAAGCAGATGTGGACCAACAGAAAACACATCAGTGGCTGAGGAGCACTGGGCTGAAATCTGAGACTGTAGGCCTAATTATGGCAGCTCAGGATCAAAGCCTCGCAACCAGATCCTATCACATAATCATGGATGGAACTAAGCCGAAATGCAGGATCTGCGGAAAATATGATGAAACTGTCAACCATTTTATCTCAGGATGTTCGGAACTGGTGAAAAATGAATATACCCAGTGACAAAACAAGGTAGCAACATATGTGCACTGGAAGATATGCAGAAAGCACAAAATCGAAACCACTGAGAGATGGCATGAGCAACATCTAGACACAGTTACCAAAAATAACGATGTAACTATCTTCTGGGACATGTCAATTCAAACTGACAGAGAAATAAAAGCCAACAGACCTGATATTATCATAAAAGACAAGACATTCAGAAAGTGCATGCTTATTGACATAGCAGTACCATCTGAGAGAAACAGCACGGAAATTATCCAGAAATTGGCCAAATACAAGGACCTGGAGATCAACATTAACAGGATGTGGGGAATGAAAACTGTACCAGTGGTAATCGGAGCTCTGGGCCTTGTGACAAAAGGAACAGACAATTTTACTAACAGTGTCCCAGGTAACATCAACATACAAGTTGCTCAGAAGATCGCCCTACTAGGAACATCACATATACTAAGAAAAGTGCTATCAGTTAAATGACCATAGTTTGGACCCGGCTCTACAGGATGCGTAGCAGGAA